GGAAGTCTCACTCTGTCACCCAGACTGGAGTGCAGTGGCCGCTTCCGGCCACCGTAGCCTCGACCTGCCGGGCTCCGGCGATCCTTCCGCCTCAACCTTCCAAGTAGCCGGAATTACAGGCATGCGCTACCACACCCGGCTGATTTTTTGATTTATTGTAGAGATGAGATCTCGCTGCCCAGGCGGGTCTCGAACCCGCGGGCTCAGGCAATCCACTCACCTCAGCCTCCCAAAGGCGCGGGATTACAGGCTGAGCCACCGAGCCTGGCTAAATGAAGACTCTTATAAAGCTATAAGATCTGCTTCTCTCTGTGTGTTTGTATGTCTGTATTTTTATGTGATATAACACTACCAAAATATATGCAAGAACTCTAATTAATTGGCTTAAAGAAAAGTAAGTGTTTAAGTCAAGAATGAAAAAGACCTCAAGATTTTTTTGTCTGAAAAAGGCATATTTCTTCATTCTAAACTGGATTAGCATAAATACAGCATTATTATGGAACCAATAATTTGTAGACGTCTATGAAAAAGTCTAGCTGATCATAATGCTCATTTTTTTTATAGCCAACCCAGTGTTTCATAATTTCCTGAGGTCAGACATAGCAGTCTACTACTAATAGCATAATTAAAATGAAACCTCAATAACAAATTACATGTTTGTTTTCTAAACTAAGTTCTCAGTCCAAATGCATTGTTTAATAGCTTGGTACTATATTACTGAAGGAATATCAGTTTATTTAGCTGATGGAAAAAGAAATAATTCTATTCTAATCTCAGATATAGTTTATGAACCCTAACTGCCAAATCTTAGTTTAGGCTAATAGTTAGGATTTTTGTAAAATACATGAATATGGGCTGAAATATCGATTTTAAATAAAGACCTGTTCATTTCTCAGCCACCAGAATTGAAGTCTGTCTCTGGAAATTTGTCTGCTTTTCTTGGTTTCCTTTGCTTTTTTACTTAAAAAAGAAACATAAGAACCCTCTCTATTTGTTTAAACTGCATAAGTCAGGAAGTGCTCAATTTATTTTCTAGTAAGAATTCTAGTGCCATTTGTCTTATTATCCAGTCACTTGCTTCTTAATCCCTAGGTTTCAGAAACTTTTGACATTCTCAGTTACACCAATTGAGCAACTTGATTCACGTGATCTTGGTGGCTAAGGTGGTTAACAATCCAGCAGTATAACTCAGGTGTAACTCATTACAAGTAAATGCTCAGGAGATTCTCCTGAGCTTCGAGTACAGGATGTGCAAATGCCTATAGAATTTTCGTCTGCTTCTGAGCCTACCAGTAGCTCGCCTTCTTCCTCTTGTTCTAGAAAGAAGTGGTTCAGCACAGAAAAAGTCTTTTACTAGTGGCTAGACTGCTGGTTTGTTTTGTCTGGGCCTAACCCCCACACAAGAGGGGAATCATTGCCTCTAAAAAAAAATGGTAAAAGTCACATGACTTCAGATCTTTTATGTAATCTCTCATTAACAGGAGTACTGCTGGGCCTTCCTGAACACAACAAGATAAATACTAAGCCAAATAAGAGTACCAAAAATGTTTGCAGTGATAAACATCAAATTTGCCACCAGTTACATATAATATCACTTATAATTCTAGAGTATTGTTTTTGTACTTAAAATAGACCTGGCTAGATATACTTTATATAGATACCATATATCATAAGTATGTATACATATACTTTATATATACTTCAGTTTTATACATTATATATCATATGTAAATTCAATTACAGATAATTAAATCATTTTAAGAGAATTAACTAAGATTAAGTAATTAAACTATATGTATATATGCCTAAATATGCATGACACATACATTTGCATTCTTTTTAAGAGAATCATATTAATCAAATTAAGAGCAATAAATGAGAAGGGAAGCCATCATGAAGCCTTTGACCAACAAATTAGCATATGTTAAAGAATGTTCATCATATGTTTTCTACATTTCATTTTCCTGTCAAATGATATATAGCAAGTAAACATTTCCATGTGCGTCATACCTTCTCATGGACTTTCTGGCCCGGTTCCATCCCTTCAAGATGTTCTGACTCTGTGGATCCCTCACTTGATGCCATTTTTCTTTGTATATGAACATTTTGCTCACGCAAGGCAACAATCTGCAAAATAAAAGCACTATGTCTTTAAAGTCTAAATACAGCACAAAGTTAAAAAAAATAGAATTGTTTTGCATATGGTTAAGATCTAAAGGATACTAGCAAGTGAGCAGAAAGTTAACATTACATTTACTCAAATATTGTTTCAAAAAGTTTTAAAAATGTAGGTTAGCATTTTGAATATTTATAAAAATTCATAACATCACTTTTAAGAAGATTTTATAGCACTATGAAATTTACCTAAGAAAATATTTTCTAGCTGAAAAATGTATCTAGTCTAATTATGAGTGCAGTCATTTAGCCTAAAGTGAAAGTGCATCTGCAATTTTAAAACAAGCACATATATAAATTGAACTTAAATAATTCTATAATGCTGTCATTAACACTTAGTCTTAAATTTGTCTTATTGACATAATTTTAATGTCCTTTGTTTTAGCATGCTTAGTTCAAATGTAGCTGATTTGCAAAAATAAATTCAGAAAGCAATTAATTCTTGTAAATATTCTGCTCAGTTTAACAGACATGATTATTTCAATAAGAAACAAGTTCTCAGGTAGTTGTAGGATAAGTGATTCTAGTAACATAAAGTGGAAAATAGTATTCTAGTCTTTTAAAATATGGTATTTTAAGATATATTTAGTATTTATATATATAATTTTGAAAATACTATATATTATATTGATGCTGTAACTTATATTTTTATGATATATTCTGTTATACTATAAATTCGGATGTTAGTATTTTTCTGAGAAAAATCAATGTGCACAGTAATTAACATACAATAAGATTTGATCAAATAAAATTTGTATGTTAAAATCATGAAACCAATGTGTCACACAGACCAATAATCACCAAATAATAATAATTTTTAAAAAGACATCAAGAGGATGGGTGTTTTCTGCTGCCTGCCACTATTTCAATGCCAGATCTGCCACAATGTGTTCATGAGATCACTGGTTCTTGCATGATCTCTGGTATTTGAGCATATGGCATATACTTCAGTAAGAGCAGATCACCACATGATGAAGAACTATGTAAATGTTCTCTTTCTCTTAGAACTACAGTCACTAAATAACTGGTTCCCTCACTCCCACTCTTGCCAATCTACCAGCTATCATCTCCAAAACAGCCAGATTCAACTTTTAAACTTAAATTATATTGTATCGCTCTTTGGCTTTCTAAAAAACTTAAATGCTTTTCCAATTTATTTAGCTTAAACATAAACTTTTTAACAAAGTCTATAATGGCCTAAACTTAACCAACCCCTTTGCTTCGGTCACACTGGCCTTTTTTCCATCCCTCAGGAATACCTGGCTCTTTCTTACCCAGAACTGAGGAATTTGATGATCTTCCTGCCTGAAACATTCTTCCCCAGCTACCACAGCTGACACAATGCCAACTTTCAAAACTCAGCTGAAATAACACTCCTCATAGAGAATGCACTTTGTCATCAAACACTTTTAACAATATATTCCTGTGTGTAGCATTCATTAAAATGTAATGTCTTATTTCTCTACATGCCCCCTTTGCTTGTTTTTTTTTTGCTAGCAGAAATTTTAATAATATCTCCTGAGAAAATAATTGTCAAAGGAATGCTTTATTGAAAACAATATTTTCATATGAAGCAGCACATTAAATTATTACATGCAGGGTATTCAATAAAAATGTGTTAAGTAATGAATAAATATAGAAAAACAAAGAATGTAAACCTAATTAATTCAGAAATAGCAAAAGATACAGACTTTGAATGCATGAGAAATTTCAGAAGCATTCTTTTTATATCAGTTAACATAGAAAAGGATTACATCAAAAGACTGACAAGAAGAATGAAATAGTTCTTGTATCATTTTAAAATTACATTCTTAACATGCTTTTGTATAAAATATGATATTACAATTTATACACAATGAGATTTTATTACAAATATATAATGAATTTTTAAAAATTCAAGTATTGTATGCAAACATATCACTAAGACAACTTCCATGGCTTAACAGATATGCAAAGTTACCAAGACATTAAAAAACTCTATGCATTTTCTTCTATAATTAATCTACTTGGAAATGAAGGGAAACTATAAAATATATTTTTTTAAAATTTAACTTTCACCTTACAGATTAATTTTCATTTGTTTAGTAAATCAGAGAAATTTCAAATATATCCAGGCTGTCTATAAAAGTTTACTGAATTAATTGATAAAAAGATGAATTAATACCATTTTAAGAAAAAATTAAAAAATAAAGTTCATTCAGAAAACACTATGCACAAATATGTTGTGCTAGTATGTTTTATAAAATTAAAAACTTCAAGTTTGTCACAAAGTGTATACATGATGATTATTTCAAAGAAAGATAAAATTTTCAACCACTAACATGCAAACTCTGTTTTATTTTTAAAATAAATCAAGTCCAAAATATTAGGCTTTGAAACTTAAGAATGTATGTACAGTACTTTACATTCTCCACAACTCTAATATGCTATTTTCCCCTAATAACAGATTATCCTGGGTAGTTATGAAAGCATAGCCTTAGTACTTGGTTTAAGTGTAGGTGTTAATAAACTGATTCTTTGCTTCACAATGGGGAAAATGAATGGTTCTCTTTTAACAATTTACCTTTGGGGTTGAACCCTTTCTTCAATGTATTCGAAAGAATGACAAGGTCACCTAGAAACCACTAGAGTCTATGGTAACACAAACCACTTTAGAAAATTCTCCCAGCTAGTTTGCAAGTTGACCACACAATATGACTGGAGAACCAGCTTGGGACAGCAAGTGGAATGAAAAGCAACTGATGGTGTCAAAACATTCTCTAGGCTTTCACTGACAGAGAATGCTGTCAGAAGGAAGGTCCCGCAACCTGTCCAGAAGAACACTGAAGTAGGTCTGGATTCCTTACTGCTAAACAACACAGCCTAAGTGCTATGGTTTAAATGTCTCTTTCAAAACTCATGTTGAAATTTAATTGCCATTGTGATATACCTAAGGGATGGGATCTTTAAGGGCTGATCAGGGCATGAGGGCTTTGCCCTCATGAATAAATTAGTGCTGTTATGGTAGGAAGGTGTTGGTTATCACTGGAGTGGGACTGTGTTCCTGATAAAAGAAGCAAGTTTGTCCCCTCATCCTCCCTCTATCTCACATGCTCTTGTTCCCTTCTACCTTTCTGCTCCAAAATAAGGCAGCGGCACCAAGGTCCATGCCAGGAGCAAGCATCATGCTCTTGAACTTTCCAGTCCCCAAAACTATCAGAAATATATATATTTTTTACACCTTACTTTTTTTTTTGGTAGAGACAAGGTCTTGCTATTGGGAACCAGGCTGATCCAACTCCTGGCCTCAAGTGATCCCCCTGCCTTGGCCTCCTAAAGTGTTGAAATTAGAGGTGTGTGCCACCGTGCCTTTTTTTTCTTTAAAAATCACCCATTTTGTGATATTCTGTTACAGCAACACAAAATGGACTAAGACACTACTTCAAATATGATGACATGGTGAGTGGGAGGAACCACTTATGTACAAGCCCTGTTGCTTAACCCAGTTCTTACATAACTGTACTAAACCCATTATGTACAAGCACTGTGCTAAACTATTTTTATCTGTGAAAGAGATATGATTCACATTGAACAAATTATTGAACTGAGACAAAGATAGATTAATGAGGAGAGCTGCTATGGTTTGAATATATGCGTCCCCCCAAATTTTATATATTAAAACAACCTAAGATCCAATGTGATAACATTGAGAGGTGGAATATTGAGGGAGTGATGAAACCATGAAGCCTCTGCCCTGTGAATGGGATAAGAGACCTTAAGGGAACTAGCGAGACCCTTCTGTACTTCCCCCTTCTGCCATGTGAGGACAGTGTTCAGGGTGTTTTCTTGAAAGTAGAAAGCAGCTCTCACCAGACACTGAGTCTGCTGGTGACTTGATCTTGGATTTCCCTTTCTCCAGAACTTTGAAAAATAAAGTTCTGTTGCTTATAAATTCCCCAGTCTCAGGTATCATAGGAGCACAAACAAAGACAAGAATTAAATAGGAACCAAATAAAAGTTGACTCATACCCTTACACTCTCTACTCTGTAACCTTGCCTCACCTGGCTTTGCATTTGAGCTTAATTAAATCAGAGAAAGTTGAGCTGGGCTCAACCTGTAATCCCGTGCCTTGAGAGGCTGAGGTGAGTGAATTGCCTGAATCCATGGGTTCGAGACCCGCCTGGGCAACTTGGTGAGCCCTCATCTCTACAATAAATAAAAAAATGAGCCAGGCGTGGTAGCGCGTGCCTGTAGTTCCAGCTACTTGGAAAGCTGAGGCAGAAGGATCGCCGAAGCCTAGCAGGTCGAGGCTGCAGCAGCCGGGAGCGGCCACTGCACTCCAGTTTGGGTGACAGAGTGAGACTCTAACTCAAAAAAAAAAAGAAAAAATAAAATAAATAAAATAAATCAGAGAAAGTTAATTGTGAGTTGGGCAAGTACTGGTATCCTCCCATGCTGGAATCCTTTGTATATCATTAAGGTTGGACCTTTCCCTGGACAGAATCACATACAGGCAAGGTTTTGCATCCATTTTCAGGGGTTTGCACTGAAAGCCCATGCATCTCTCGTCAAGAAACTTTTCACAACCATTTTAACTAATCAACCATCAATTGTCAGTTGACATTTATTTTTTAGGTGCCCAGATCCCTTCACATTTATTTTGGTAGCAACATCTTACATTTTAATTGATGACATTTCTTATTCTAATCCCAGATAGATGGTCAATCAAGGGTTCATGGCAACTGAATGGACACATTATCCAATACAGGACAATCAGAGTATTTCTTGACAAGTTTCTAATGGAGCTATGAAGAATGTTTCTCTCTTTCAGCTATGGACTGTAAGCCAGTAGAATGTGACAAAGATGCTGTTTGCCACTAGTTCCTACTTATGGAGAAAGCATGTGACAGAGATGAAGCACTCATGAATTCCTTCTGGTTTTGATTCTAGCCATATTTAAATTATTTTTGCC